AAAGGCATATACTTAAAACCGTATAAAACAGGAATGGGACTTTTTCTTAAGCCATATAACCGTTAACAAATAAATAGTAAACTTAGTACCGGCGTCGCAATTGCAGTACAAATTAATAAAATGAATAAGAAGCAAATACCTAACGATTATCCGTTAACGAATATTCAGTTGGAAAAGTATGCTAAAAAGTTGTTGAAAATACCTTGGTTTAGGGGTGTTTTTATGATAGATAATCTGCCCAGAAAAATAAGAAAAAATGAACGAGGTATAATCAACTTGGACAGTAGAAGCGGAACCGGAACCCACTGGACATGTTGCAAAAAACAGGGACCTAATATCATGTATTTTGACAGTTATGGAAATCTACCTCCGCCACTGGAAGCATTGACATATTTCAATTCGAATGGACCGTGCAATATACGATACAATTACGATGTTTATCAAAAATTTAATACCGTGAATTGTGGTCAGCTATGTTTACATTTTCTTTCCGAATAAATTATTTATTATTAGCAAACTGTTATTCATTAATCCGATAACCTTTGTACAGATCGGTCGGTATGTATACGTTTACATTATCTGGTAAAGACTCGATACTTTCGACTAAAATATATCCTCCCATCGTTTTGGACGATTCAAAAAGTTATGCGATCGGATTGATCGACTTTGTTACTTTCAACACAATTCCCAATGTAGACAATTCCAACAATAAATTTTATATCGGAAGTCAAGTTATTGTCGTACCCGAAGCTAGTTATGAAATTAACGACATTGAAAAGTTTATAATGGAGAAGATTACGGAGAAAAACGAAACATTGAAAAAAGAAAACCAAAAGAAACAACAAAAAACAAATGTGATTGAAAAGGAATTGTCGATGAATGACGAAATCGTTTTATTTATGAGGGCCAATCTTAATACACTAAAATACGAAATCAAATCCAACGAGACGATACATTTTGAAAAAGGCGATTCGATTGCAAAATTGTTGGGATTCAAAAATAGAAAACTGTCTGCCAATCAATTACACATATTCGAATTTCCGATAAATATTTCGAAAGTAAATTCTGTTTGTGTAGAATGTAATTTGATAAAGAATTCTTATAATAATAATAACTCAGTACATATACTACACATGTTTTATCCTAGTGTGCCAAGCGGATTTCGTATAATCGAAAATGTGTCAAATGTTATATATTTACCTATAAATTCTAATTACATTGACGAAATTATCCTTAAAATAGTGGATCAAGACGGTAATTTGATTAATTTTCAAAGAGAAACGATAACAGTAAGAATACATTTAAAGGAAGTGGTGTCATAAAAAATGGTGCTCCTCTATAACCTCAACATTCCAAATGGCGTTTTCACGTCGTCGAATATAAAAGAAAATACGGATCTACATAGAGTTAATCATAGTCGATCGTTGAAACCGTTAACAGTCGAAAATTTCGAATTTCTTCGCTATCTGGGATTAACATTGAAGGGAAAAAACAAAAAGAAAAACGGCGTGTAAATTCCTCCTAAATATAACATTAACAATCCGTTCGGGTATACGAAGACTTATTGTCTTTTGCAAGTGTTTTGGAAGTTACTACAACCAGAAGAAGAAGAAGAAGAACAAAGAAGATGAGTTTTAATATTCTGAACGTAGGTGAACAAGCATTTATGGACAATTCTATTATTAATTACGAGTTACATAGCTACACTCCATACGCAAATACGACATTAAATAATTCGGATGAAATACGGATTCCTATACAGGCTCAAGACGTTTACACTTTACCGACCAATAGTTACATGTATTTCGAAGGACGAATTGTCGACAGCGAAAAAAAAGTAAGCACGACTCTTAAACCGATCAATAATTTTATAGCGTTTCTTTTCTATGAAATTCGTTATGAAATTGGAGGGATCGTTATAGACAGGGTTAGAAATCCTGGAATTACAACTACTCTCAAAGGATTGGCATCTTTCACAAAAAATGAATGTGATCGATACGAACATGCCGGTTGGAATCACTTGCAAAATCCCGAAATAACAAACAAAGATGGATATTTCAATGTAAACGTTCCTCTTAAAAATTTAATGGGATTTTTTGAACAAGATTTCAAAAAAATTCTAATCAATATGAGACAAGAATTGGTTTTAATTCGAAGCTCCAACGATAATAACGCCGTCATATCTACGAAAGAAAACGAAAAACCCAAAATAGAATTATATAAAGCGATATGGAGAATACCGCACATACAAGTAGCAGATGTGGAAAAGCTACGACTTCTCAAGTATATAGAGAAAGGACGAGAATTAGAATTGGCTTTTAGAAGTTGGGAATTGCACGAATATCCATTGTTACAGGAAACGACTAAACACACGTGGAACGTTAAAGCCACAAATCAACTTGAAAAACCTCGATTTGTTTTAGTTGCTTTTCAAACTCTTCGAAAAAATAATGTTTCTAAAAATATGTCCAACTTGGACCATTGTAATTTAAGTAATATAAAATTGTATTTGAATTCAGAAACATATCCATATGATAACGTTAATTTAAATTTTACTAAAAATTATATCGCCATTTTATATGAAATGTACGCACAATTTCAACAATTTTACTATTATAAGCAAATAAGCGAACCCTGTTTAACATTTAAGACGTTTTTACAGTTGGCGCCTTTCATTGTAATAGATTGTAGTAGACAAAATGAAAGTTTAAAATCTGGTTCGGTAGATATTCGGCTGGAATTTGAAACTTCTCAGAATATTCCCGCAAACACAACCGCCTATTGTCTTATCATACATGATCGTTTAATAAAATACAATCCCCTCTCTAGCACTGTCAGAATTATTTAATTTTGTACTAATTTTTTGTATAGTTATTTGCAAATTAAAATAGTTTAACATGGTGGTGATCTTTTATTTGCGCATGCTCTTATTAAAACTGTATAAAATGTATCAAACGTTGCAAATATTATTCATTGTGTAATTTATTGTTAATCTGTCAAGTTTAAACAAAAAACATGTTTCAAACAAAAATAATTTCTAGTCTGATTGTGACTTTGAATTTCATCGATTTTGTCGTCGTGCATACTCCAATCAAAGCAAACTCAATTTTGGAGAAAGTCTACGTTGAAAATTACACTTTTCCAATTGAACGAGGAACATTCTACCTATACGAAAAATCCAAAGAAAACATAACTTTGAAGCAGTGTCCGGCATTCTATTTTGACGGTGCTTTTCCCGTAGGAACGCAAATTCGAAATTCGTTTAATAAAACTATAGGTACAGTAATTGGTCAACATTTGAATTATTATCCGATATTTCCGAGAGAAAATACGATCATGTATTGTGGAAGATACGGGTTGGAAAATCTAATTGGAAATAAATCTATAATTGTTGAAAATTATGAATTTACATTAGATGATTTTAAAAAAAATTTTGTAGAACTATCTAGTCTAGATTATCAATGTTTTATTTATGCGTAAAATTATTTATATACTGTTGAGAATTTAAATAAATATATTTATCGATGAATATGTTTTTATCTGCGCATCACCCAATCTCTGAAAAAAATAAGTGAAAAGTGCTACACCGTCAACTTATTCTAAATCTACGCAATCAAATAGTGAAAAATTTAGCAAATTGTAATTTTAACATATTTACTTTGTATGTACAAAATATAATGATAATAAATAATATTTGATAACCTTTGACCATTTAAATGAGATATTTTTGTGTTGTTTATCTAATAAAATGTAAAATTTGCATTAAAGTGTTTTGTCAAGTACGAAGCAGCAGCAGCCATGAATAGTGATCGTTACGTAACAACAACAACCGAAAAAAAAGTAAAACAAGATGTTTCGGAAAACTCCAAAGTCTACTACTATAACGGTACCAAGTTCTGTAATAGCTGTAACAAATCTTTTTGCTTTTGTGAAGAATCCATTAAAAATCATCCAATATGTAATATAAAATATTGTTCGCAATCAACAAGTCGTTCGAACAATATAAGTTTATATTGCGACGAAGTTATTCCATCATCGTCGTCGTCGTCGTCGTCGTCGTCACCACCAGCGGCCAAAAAAACAAGGATTTAGAACATACCCTATAGAAGAAGAAGAAGAAGAAATACGTTGTGGTGTTTAGCAAATTTATATCGGATGTCAATACTTTGTAAATGTTTTCAATAAATCATCAATTTTATCGGTGCACATTTATTTAATTGTATTCACCTCGACAACCTTTTTAGATATTATTTTGTTTTCTATTCCAACTTATCAATGTAAATGTTTTAAATAAATCATCAATTTTATCGGTGCACATTTATTTAATTGCATTCACCTCGACAACCTTTTTAGATATTAATTTGTTTTCTATTAAAACTTATCAATGTAAATGTTTTAAATAAATCATCAATTTTATCGGTGCACACTTATTTAATTATATCGACCAGCGCGCATACACGACGACGACGCGATAACGTGCCGGCCCAGTTACGCTAGGGGAACAGCGCGCGCGCGTCGGCGTTTATCTCCGAAGGTTCGAGGTTCGAATCCCGCCCGCGCGAGACATCGGCGGCGGCGGCGGTCGCTTTTTTCGGCTCTCAAAAATTTCTCACCCCCGCACCCCCACACCCCCCGTAGTGCCGAAAAGGCACTACGAAATTTATTTTTTCTACGAACCCCTTTTTTTACCGGGGTACAATTGCCAAAAAGGCACTAGCGACTATGACGTCATAAAATGTTTTTTAATCAGTGACAACACTTTTTCCCCAAGGGGAGGCGCCAAAAAGGCACTATGACGTCACACCTCGACACAGGTGTAATTACTTTACCCACCCCCAGGGGTCCCCGTACACCTGTCTACACCCTAATGGTGACACTTTCCACTTCTTCGGCGTGACCTTTACTTCTTTTACATGACCCCCCTTACGAAGAACTGGCTTTGGTACACTGCTGATGGAAAATGCCATCGGTGACCTTGAATCGTCACAGTCCCGCGTTAGAATAACTACTGAGGCGACGGGTCGGCGACGGTTCTACGTCGACATCGTTGAAACGCACTCTTGGCGGCAAGGTCGTTGGGTCGCCAAGTCGCGACCCACCAGTTCTATAGGTCGTATGAGTCCGGTTTATCCGAGTCCGGGGAATATGGAGCGCTACTATCTACGAATGATTTTGGGCAACGTGACAGGTTTGATTTCGTTCGTGGACGCGAAAACCGTAAACGGCGTTTTATGTCCTTCGTATCAGGCCGCTTGCGTAGCGTTAAAATTGATCCCGGACGACGACGAAGAGGCGGACAAGATTTTAGATTGGATAGCGGATCGTCTTCGTCATCCGTTTTATTTAAGGGAAGCGTTCGCTCTAATTCTCTTGTACAATCCGTCGAAGAATCCCCGAACTTTATTTAAGAGATGGTGCAGGCGTATGTCCGCTTACGTGCTTAGGATTCATATCGATTTAATCAGAGATATCGACGAAGAGGGCGCGGGCGACTTAAACGAAAGGATGCACGTGCTCCGTACGTGTCGGTATACGGTCCTTTGGAGTCTCGTAGATCGATTTCTGGTCGAATGCTCCACTTCGATGGAAAAAATTAATCTTCCTCGGGATTGGATTTCCGATTGGGTTTACGACGAGGAGGCGGAACAACTTTTGGACGAGGAAGAGGTTTTGTTCGAGGAATTCGCTTTCGTTCCGAGACCGAATCAAAATTTGCATCTGGTCGATCTCAACGATCAACAGCTGGGATTCGTTTACGAGGTTTTACAGTGTGTATGCAATCGTAACCGTATCGTTTTCGTTTTGACCGGCGTAGGGGGCACCGACAAAACCGCGACCGTCAACGTTATTTTGGAAGTGGCGGAACTTCGCGCGTTACCGTACGTATCCGCGGCTTTTACGGGGATCGCGGCCACGTTAATCCGGAACGCGGCTACGATTCATTCTTCTTTCGGCATTCCTAGAGAAAGAGGCGTAGACGATACGCCGGTTTCTAATTTGGTGGGCGAGTCGGAGGCGGCCGACGATATTCGAAACGCAAGACTCGTCGTGTTAGACGAGGTGTTTATGTTGGTGTCGTGGATGTTGGAAATGATCGATGCCGTGTGTCGGGAATACGGTCAATCGCGACGGCCGTTCGGTGGGAAAACCGTTATTCTTAGCGGCGATCCCAAGCAGTTGCTTCCCGTTGTCAAGGGTAGGCGAGCGGGAATGGCGTCCATCGTTTCGCATCCGGCATGGAGTACTTTTCAACTGTGCATGTTAACGGAAAACATGCGTGTTCATCCGCAAGAGGTGGAATGGTCAAATTTCATCAGGAGAGTAGGCGACGGGGAAAGAATCGTTTCGGACAACGGACGCGAACCGATTTCCGATAACTGTCTGTTCGTTCCTTCCAAATTAATTGTCAAATCGCGCGAACAACTCGTCGACTTTGTTTACGGGGACGTCTTCGAATCGATACTCGCTCTTCCCGGGACGAACGAGCGATTCTTGGAATTAGCCGAGCGATTGGCCCTCCGGTCGATCCTTTGTCCCGTGAACAGCGAGGTCGAGGAGTTGAACGAAATCATCTCAAAGATCTTCCCCGATCCGTCAGGATCGGAGAGGGTCTTTTTGGCGACCAATTCCTACGATAGACAGAGTAACGAGGATGGGGCCGACGATCACGAAATCGCCATTCCCCTCGCGACGGGAGTCACCAGTGAAATTATCGAAAGTTTAGATTAGTCCGGACTACCGCCACATCGGTTGACTTTGAAGATCGGTTCGGTGGTAGTCCTTTTGGTAAATCTTAACGTGCGGAGGGGTTTTTGTAACGGACAGAGAATGATCGTTTTGGAGATGGGCGATGACGTGATAGTCGGCCGCATCGTTTCCGGTCAATTTCAGGGCCGTAAATGTGTCATTATCAGAAAACAATTCGTTTTAGAGGAAAAAGAAACGCCATTGCTACCGGGCGGCGGCACATTTTATAGAAAACAATTTCCGATTAAGTTGACGGACGCAATTACTATCAACAAAGCGCAAGGACAGACTCTTTCGCGAGTCGGTTTGTGTCTCAACGTCCCGTGTTTTGCTCACGGTCAATTGTACGTCGCTTTGTCCAGAGTGCGTACTTGGCAGGATATTCGCATTTTTGTAAAGGAAAGTCGTAGACAGGGTCGTTTCTTTAAAGACGGTCGCAAAAATAATCCAGTTTTCACGCAGAATATCGTTTATAGGGCGTTTTTAGATAAAATCTTCAATTGAATTCGAAAATTTGCCACTTTTTACATTTTCGTTTCCATTTTACGACCCCATTTTCGTTCCGATTTTACGACACAACGATGACAGTTCACCGATAATAACTTGTAACCGAGGGCGACTTTTTACCGACGACGTCCTTTACCCAATATAGCCTTTTCACCCGATCGTGACTTTTTACCCAATTATGACGTTTACTCGATCACGACTTTTACCAAATAAAAATATTACATTTTCCAAATTTTTATTAAGTACACGAGTTCCAATATTTCCTGCCGCCGGTACGAACGATGACTTTTTCCCGATTAAAACTCTAACCCGACAAAGACGTTCACCCGATTGAGACTTTTACCCGATTATGACTTTAATCCCATCACGAGGGTCGAAATTATTCGTTACGTTCGATACCGCGGACAATCGAACGATAGAGAAAAATACGACGATAACCCGATTCGCGACACACTATCTCATAACGTAACTAATCCTTTTTTTTTAAATGTTTCAGATCTACGAGACGTTCACAACCGGCCAAGGATTTTTTATTATCAATACTAATTTGTTATATTTCAGGCGACCTTCAAGGTTCTTTTTAGAACCGCCAAAACGTTTTTTAAAGAATTCGTTTTCGATAATAAATAAAAATGAAATAAATTTATTTTCCCTTTCCAATTCCTTTTTCCTTTAACGTCGAAGGAAACGTTTCGAGACGAACGTTTCAAAAATACGTAATCACATATCTTAACATTTTTATTTCAATTTCAAAACGTTCTGAATCATGGTGATGTTCAATTCTAAATTTTGATCGGTTTTTTTATTAGTTTTAATTAGATATCAAACCGCCACCGAAGAGGTTCACGGTCTAGGCAATACGTCACTTTGGTCCATTTTGGTTAGTTTCGGTTATCGCTTTGGTGATGCCAACCACCACCGAGGCGGTTTACCGTTTAGACGGTCTATATACTTCACTTTGGTCCATTTTGGTTAGCTTCGGTTATGGAAGCGGTCTATATATAGAGACGACCTATATATGGGGCGGTCTGTATATAAAGGCGATCTGTACATGGAGGCGGTCTATAAATGGACTCGGTCTATATATGCAGGCGGTCTATATATGGAGCTGGTCCGCATATGGAAGCGGTTTACATATAGAGGCGGTCTGTATATGGAGGCGGTTCATATACGAAGGCGGTCTGCATTTAGAGACCGTCCGTATATAATGGCGGTCTGTATATGGAGGCGGTTCGTATACGAAGGCGGTCTGTATATTGAAGCGGTCTGTATATCAAGGCGGTCCGTATACAAAGGCGGTCTGTATTTGGAAGCGGTCCGTATATAAAGCCGGTCCGCATATGGAAGCGGTTTACATATAGAGGCGGTCTGTATATGGAGGCGGTCCGTATACAAAGGCGGTCTGTATTTAGAGACGTTCCGTATATAATGGCGGTCTGTATATGGAGGTGGTCCGTATATGGAGGCGATCAATATATGGAAGCGGTCTGTATATCGAGGCGGTCCGTATACGAAGACGGTCTGTATTTGGAGGCGGTCCGTATATAAAGGCGTTCCGTATATAAAGGCGTTCCGTATATGAAGGCGATCCCTATATGGAAGCGGTCCGTATAGAGAGGCGGTCTGTATATGGAGGCGGTTCGTATACAAAGGCGGTCTGTATTTAGAGACGTTCCGTATATAATGGCGGTCTGTATATGAAGGTGGTCCGTATATGGAGGCGATCGATATATGGAAGCGGTCTGTATATCAAGGCGGTCCGTATATAAAGGCGTTCCGTATATGGAGGCGATCCCTATATGGAAGCGGTCCGTATATGGAGGCGGTCCGTATACGAAGGCGGTCTGTATTTAGAGACGGTCCGTATATAATGGCGGTCCGCATATGGAGGTGATCCGTATATGGAGGCGATCAGTATATGGAGGCGGTCCGTATATCGAGGCGGTCCGTATACGAAGGCGGTCTGTATTTGGAGGCGGTCCGTATATAAAGGCGTTCCGTATATGGAGGCTATCCCTATATGGAGCCGGTCCGCATACAAAGGCGATCCGTATACGCGAATTCGAATTGAAACCGCGAAAGGCTCATTAAATCAGTTATGGTTCCTTAGATCGTACCCACAATTACTTGGATAACTGTGGTAATTCTAGAGCTAATACATGCAAACAGAGGTCCGACCGGAGACGGAAGGAGTGCTTTTATTAGATCAAAACCAATCGGTGGCGGGTTCGCGACCGACATCGTTCAACTTGGTGACTCTGAATAACTTTACGCTGATCGCACGGTCTCGCACCGGCGACGCATCTTTCAAATGTCTGCCTTATCAACTGTCGATGGTAGGTTCTGCGCCTACCATGGTCGTAACGGGTAACGGGGAATCAGGGTTCGATTCCGGAGAGGGAGCCTGAGAAACGGCTACCATATCCAAGGAGGGCAGCAGGCGCGCAAATTACCCACTCCCGGCACGGGGAGGTAGTGACGAAAAATAACGATACGGGACTCATCCGAGGCCCCGTAATCGGAATGAGTACACTCTAAACCCTTTAACACGAGGATCAATTGGAGGGCAAGTCTGGTGCCAGCAGCCGCGGTAATTCCAGCTAAAATAGCGTATATTAAAGTTGTTGCGGTTAAAAAGCTCGTAGTCGAATTTGTGTCTCGCGCCGCCGGTTCATCGTCCGCGGTGTTAACTGGCGTGCCGCGAGACGTCCTGCCGGTGGACTTAGCCCGTTCACGCGGGCGGTCCAACTCAATCCTGCCGCGGTGCTCTTCATTGAGTGTCGAGGTGGGCCGGCACGTTTACTTTGAACAAATTAGAGTGCTTAAAGCAGGCTAAAACTTCGCCTGAATACTGTGTGCATGGAATAATGGAATAGGACCTCGGTTCTATTTTGTTGGTTTTCGGAACCCCGAGGTAATGATTAATAGGAACGGATGGGGGCATTCGTATTGCGACGTTAGAGGTGAAATTCTTGGATCGTCGCAAGACGGACAGAAGCGAAAGCATTTGCCAAAAACGTTTTCATTGATCAAGAACGAAAGTTAGAGGTTCGAAGGCGATCAGATACCGCCCTAGTCCCCGCATAATAAGCGACCGCGCTTCTCGCGCCGCTTGTTATGCGGGACCTGACTCTAAACGTTGCCGGCTCGCGATGTATCTCGGGAACGGCCGCTCCGATCAGGATGAAACTTGGCGGGTCGGCGGAGGGGGCGGCCGCGATTTCGGCGCCGCGAGCGGAACCGCCCCCGACCTCGGAGGGCGGAGTTACCGCCACCGAAAGAACTTTTTTCCGGAAAATGGCGGAAACGATGTCGGATCCGGGTAAAACGGGGTCGGAAACCGTCCCTTTTGGGACGGAAATTCGCTCCGTTTCTCGCTACGACGAACCGTTTCCGAGATACGGCGGTTTTTTGGAAAAATTTTCAAAATATTCAAATCATTTTCGTACCGGCCTCGGCATTATTGACTAGGCTAACCGGCGGACTCGGCGTGGGGAATCGACTGACAAAGTCCCAACCCTCCCCCCCCCCTCCAAATTTTACCCCATCGAATTTTGTAATTTTTGAAAAAAAAAATCGGAGAAAATGCCTTCTAAGGGTAAAGGGGGGTGAGAAGCGACCCCTTTGGGGCGAAAATTTCGTGCGTTTTTCGATCCGACGAGCCGTTTTCGAGATTTCGACATTTTCGAAAAATTTTCGAAAAAGGGCCGTATCTCGGAAACGGTGCGTCGGAGGCGAAAAATAAGCGAATTTTCGTTCCGGCCTCGGCGTTATTGACTAGATGGACCGGCCGACTCGGCGTGGGGAATCGACTTGCAAAGTCTCAACCCCCCCCCCTCCAAATTTTACCCCCTCGAATTTTGTAATTTTTGAAAAAAAAAATCGGAGAAAATGCCTTCTAAGGGTAAAGGGGGGTGAGAAGCGACCCCTATGGGGCGAAAATTTCGTGCGTTTTTCGATCCGACGAGCCGTTTTCGAGATTTCGACATTTTCGAAAAATTTTCGAAAAAGGGCCGTATCTCGGAAACGGTGCGTCGGAGGCGAAAAATAAGCGAATTTTCGTACCGGCCTCAGCGTTATTAATTAGGTGGACCGGCGAACTCGGCGTGGGGAATCGACTGGCAAAGTATCAACCCCCCCCTCCAAATTTTATCCCCTCGAATTTTGTAATTTTTGAAAAAAAAAATCGGAGAAAATGTCTTCTAAGGGTAAAGGGGGGAGAGAAGCGACCCCTGTGGGGTGAAAATTTTGTCCTTTTTTTGATTGGACGAACCGTTTTCGAGTTATGGCCATTTTAAAATCGAAAAAAAAATACGAAAAAGGGCCGTATCTCGGTAAGGGTGCGTCGGAGGCGAAAAATAAGCGAATTTTCGTACCGAGCTCATTATAACGCGCGTAGAGTGGTGCGGATTCGTAACCACTATAGCCTGGTAGGTTTCCGACGTTCCTCCTATCCATTCAAGTTTGAAATTTTAAAGCGAGGTAGGCTTTCATTTTTCCCTTATTAAAATCGATCGATTATTTTCGTGATTTTTGCATCTCTTAAATATGGCAACGTCCGACGATTCTCTAACAGCCGTTATTTTACCCGCGAAAAAATGATTTACGATCGACGGACAGAAAACCGTTATAAAAGTGGATGGGGTGACACTGTTGCCAGAAGCATCCCTGCATTGTGATTTATATCGATTTTTATTGAAAAAAAGATCAATTTCAATTCAACGAAAAGAGACGGGATGCAGTTGAAAGTGTTTCCAGATAGATTTCGACGATTCTCATAATTGGTAAAGACAAAAATTAACTCGCATCATTTTTAATAACTACGTTTTGCGCTCAACGTGGCAACGTTCGACGATCTTAGCGATCGTTATCCTAGGCGCGAAATATTAAATAATTGGTGGGGGTGACAATGTAGGTGGGATGATCTTCATCGAGATTTGCATTTAGTTTGTTTTAAAAGTGCACCCGAGAAAGTTAATTGTGATTGATTTTCTTTT